TCATCATGAAAGAAGTATACAACATAACTCCTGGATTAGACCATTACTCTTGCATGGTAGATCTTCTTGGAAAGAAAGGGAAGCTCGAAGAAGCTTTAGAACTCATCCGTAACATGTCAGCTAAACCCGATGCAGGTATATGGGGTGCATTGCTAAGTGCCTGCAAAATCCACCGTAATGTAAAGGTTGCTGAGCAAGCAACTGAATGTCTTTTTAAATTGGAACCGGAAATGGCTGCACCATACGTAGAAATGGCAAACATATACGCAGCTTCTGGTCAGTGGGATGGCGTTGCGAGGATTAGATCGATGATGAAACTCAGGAACATTAAGAAGTATCCAGGTGGAAGCATGATTCAGGTGAACGGAAAGAATCACACTTTCACCGTTGGAGAACGTGGCCATGCGGAAGATGAAACTATATACCTTGTGTTGGATGGTTTGAGCTTGTTTGCAAGAGATAAGCATACATTGCATAACTATACTGGACAAAGCTATTAACCTTTGAAGCCTTTTAGCTGTTTTCCTCAAAACCTGAAAAATCCGAACCGAAATCCGAAATGTTAAAGGACATCTCCAACTCCACTCCAAATCCGACTTTATTTTAGAGTAAAATATTTTCCAAATCCCTCTCTCCATAGCAGTTTTTAAGTACAGATTGTGATAAAGCAAAAAAAATTTGGGCTTTTGCTTCATCATATATGGGGCCCTTAAACCTATCACTACTAACCAAATAAGCTATATTAAAGCCCTTATACCCATCACTAAACATTTGCTGTGATTTAATATTAAGATACTATTGTTTTTTTTTTTCTGATCGAAAGATGCTATTGTTCTTAAGATATAAAAGTGCTGAAGAATCTAATAACAACATGTGTTATAGTAATCAATCATTAACAAGATATAAAGTAAAGAAAAGATAATTATCATTTGTGGAGGACCAGATTCTGTTGGCATTTCTTTATTTTATTCACCACCAATCTTTTTCCACATTTGACAAATTAAAAGGATAAAGACCTTTTGGCCACTAAGATAACTAAACTTACATAAAAATATATTTTTCCTTAACCATGTTCGTTGAACTTCCGTGTCCATTGCGTGTTCCCACGTCGTAGATATTTTGTTTATTACGTTTGACCTTTTAGTTTGACATAATTCTAATTTACACCCTTATACTTTTAATATTGCTTAAAACATCCAATTATAGCCATATTTACATACAAAAATCCCATTTTTTCTACGCAGCATAACACTCGCTAAGCAATAAAATTACAAAAATGCAAGATTAATTTATTAATGTTAGTTTTCTATCTAAGTATTCAACGTTTAGAATTTGGACACAATTGAAACTCTGAAGACTTAGACTGTTTAATTATGATAGTTATAAAACTACGAGGACTAAAAAGATAAGAATAGATAAGTTTATACTTATTCAAAAAAATGGTAACGCGTTAAGTAATTAATACACGCTTATCCACC